TTGAATATCCAAGATTTTCTGAAATTAACAATTTCATTCGTGATAGTAAAAGGTATACGGAGAGCAATTCGCAAAAGAATATATGTATATATATATTTTGACATTGGCGTCTGGATCTTGTCTCGCAGATGGAATAACCCAACGCTAGTTTTATCGATGACACCAAGAACTGGTAATGGAAAAATTAACTTTGATTTATAAGTCTAGTTCTAATGATTTTGATTAATTAACCGGAGAAAGTTAAGGGAGTGTCTTTTGTAACTTTGTCCAAGAAATCTTTGAGATTTTGGACGTACTATTGTTTGCTGGTTATGGTGTCTTTTGTAAATTTGTTCAAGAAACCTTTGAGATGTTGACGTTCTTCTGTTTGCTGGTTATAGTGTCTTTTGTAACTTTGTCCAAGATCTTTGAGATTTTGACGTACTATTGTTTGCTGATTACATTATCTTTTGTAACTTTGTCCAAGAAATCTTTGACATTTTGGACGTTCTACTGTTTGCTGGTTATAGTGTCTTTTGTAACTTTGTTCAAGAAACCTTTGAGATTTTGGACGTAGTTTTTTTTTGCTGGTTATAGTGTCTTTTGTAAATTTGTTCAAGAAACCTTTGAGATGTTGACGTACTACTGTTTGCTGGTTATAGGGTCTTTTGTAACTTTGTCCAAGAAACCTTTGAGATTTTGACGTACTACTGTTTGCTGGTTATAGTGTCTTTTGTAAATTTGTCCAAGATCTTTGAAATTTCAACGTACTACTGTTTGCTGGTTACAGTGTCTTTTGTAACTTTGTCTAAGAAACCTTTGAGATTTTGACGTATTTCTGTTTGCTGGTTATAGTGTCCTTTGTAAATTTGTCCAAGATCTTTGAGATTTTAACGTACTACTGTTTGCTGGTTATAGTGTCTTTTGTAAATTTGTCCAAGATCTTTGAGATTTTAACGTACTACTGTTTGCTGGTTATAGTGTCTTTTGTAACTTTGTCCAAGAATTCTTTGAGATTTTGACGTACTACTGTGAACGGCATTTCAAGACAATGGTAGACACGGTCCCCTGTATTGCCCTTGTTGATCTAAAGTTTGGTTTGGTTTATCAGTTTGGAAGAATTATATAATTTCCTTGGTAATGTACGGCAGGAGAGGCAAGCGAAAGAAGATGAAGGAAGTTTATATTATGATTTATGCTGCAGAGTGAAAACCATTTTGACTGTTTGGGTTATATTGTTAGTGGTTGAGGTTTCCTTCGATGAGTTCTTTTTGGCTGGAGTCTGTTAATTAACAATGTTTCTTTGTTTCCTTTATACGTCGCATCATTTAGTGAGAATTTGAAACATACCTGTGATATATCACATTCGCCAAGCATGTGAGCAGGTATACTTGATTGATTTATTAGTTACCAAATATAAAAGTTTACTTATGTGTGTTTGTAGCTATCTGGTAGCCGAACCATATATCTAGAATTACATCTGATCATCAACTGTTTGTTTGTTTGTTTGTTTCTAAATTTTGCGTAAAGCTACACGAAAGCTATCTGCACTAGCCATCCCTAGTTTAGCAGTGTAAGACTAGAGGGAAGGCAGCTACTCATCAACACCCACCGCCAACTCTTGGGCTACTTTTTTACCAACGAATAGTGGGATATAACTCCCCCATAGCTGGAAGGGCGAGCATGTTTGGTTGTACGGGGATTCGAACCCGCGACCCTCAGATTGGGTCAGCAGTAAATTTATTAATTTGCAGCACTGTTTAAGTTCGCGCTAAAACAAACAAAAGAATAATTACTTTATACCATATACTATCATCATTATATATGTAACAATGGAAAGTTCCTTTATTATGACACGTTATATATGTAACAATGGAAAGTTCCTTTATTATGACACGTTATATATGTAACAATGGAAAGTTCCTTTATTATGACACGTTATATATGTAACAATGGAAAATTCATTCATTATGGCACGTAAAACATGTAACAATGGCAAGTTCCTTTATTATGACACATTATATATGTAACAATGGAAAGTTCCTTTATTATGACACATTATACATGTAACAATGGAAAGTTCCTTTATTATAGCACGTAAAACATGTAACAATGGCAAGTTCCTTTATTATGACACATTATATATGTAACAATGGAAAGTTCCTTTATTATGACATGTTATTTATGTAACAATGGAAAGTTCCTTTATTATGACACATTATACATGTAACAATGGAAAGTTCCTTTATTATGACACGTTATATATGTAACAGTTGAAAGTTCCATTATTACGACACGTTATATATGTAAAATGGTAAGTTTCTTTATTATGACACATTATATATGTAACAATGGAAAGTTCCTTTATTATGACACATTATATATGTAACAATGGAAAGTTCCTTTATTATGACACATTATACATGTAACAATGGAAAGTTCCTTTATTATGACACGTTATATATGTAACAGTTGAAAGTTCCATTATTACGACACGTATAGTTTCCGTTATTGGTGATATTACAATATGATTTGTTTATTAAAGTTAATGTAACAATGGGTGTGAAATAATTATTAATGTATTGTTACAACAGCGGAAGTCACTTGACGCTGCTGGCGCGTTGGTGCTGGTGGAGAGCAATGACATATGAGGAGCCAGTGTAAAAAGAATACTACCAATAAGTCAGCTTTGGGAAACCAATAGTGGTTGGTATTGAGGGACACCCACCAACCCACACTGTGAAAGTCCCAACAGCCAAGTGTACAATGGCAAGCACACATAGTATCTACGTGACAG